AACGTCCATTTTAAACGACATAATTACTCTGTTAACAACACATTTTCTCTACCTTATTATCACACAAAATGCGATAGAAACGCCACGATGTTTATATCCATTTGCATCACGAAATATGTGATGTGTTTTAAGAAACGTCTATTTTTAACGACATAATTACTCTATTAACAATACATTTTTTCTATCTTGTTATCACACAAAATGCAATAGAAACGTTGTAATATAATAGCCATTTGCATTATAAAATATGTGATGTGTTTTAAGAAACGTCTATTTTAAACGATATAATTGTTATATCTACAACTACCCACAATGCATGGTCTAATTGCGATATCTCTGTTTTTACCATTGTCGTAATTACCTACAATCTGTATAACAATAAATGCTATAACAATTGTAAGTTAACCAAAGTGTAATAATATTAAACGTCGTGCAAATCGTGGGCTTACCTAAAGTATGTCAACATTAAACATTGTAATACTTACGAGTTTATCAAGAATGTATTAAAATTAAACATCACGATAATCACGAGGTCATCCAAAATGCGTTCATATCAAATATCATAACTATGGTAATAACTACAGTTTGTCAGCTGTCGAATCGAATGCCGAATGTCAAATGTCGAATGTCGAATATTGTTGAGAAAGTGTAGCAATAACGCCATTAAAAACGTATCAGCTACCCTTTCTTTCCAACAACCAATGTTTGTTAAAGCCACTATGCTACTTTTTAAAAAAATCGGGATCCAACTTTTTTTTTAAAACTACCACTACATCATCACCAGTATCACGAGTGCTATATTGGATATACACATAGGATATATCATGAAAAGGAGATATTAGTAACCATCGCTAATTATATAAACACGAAAACAAATGCTCTACTAGGAGGCCATCCATGTTCGGCTCCACCAACCATAGACTACAGTATAAAAATATCTGTCAACACCTATTAAAACAGTGTGTTCCTTGAGAGTACAACAAATCTCATCAGCTTTTTCCTTCCACCAGTCTCCATTTTCTACATTCACCACCACTACTTTGTAACATCATCTACTTTAGCTGAGAAAGCCTTGGACATGATCATCTCATATTGGATCCTGGATATTACAGATAGTAATTTCCTTTCCAATATGAGATGATCATGTCCAAGGCTTTCTCAGCTAAAGTAGATGATGTTACAAAGTAGTGGTGGTGAATGTAGAAAATGGAGACTGGTGGAAGGAAAAAGCTGATGAGATTTGTTGTACTCTCAAGGAACACACTGTTTTAATAGGTGTTGACAGATATTTTTATACTGTAGTCTATGGTTGGTGGAGCCGAACATGGATGGCCTCCTTAGGTTTTAAAAAGTCTATAATTTAGGTCGTCATTTTTTTCTAAGCATATATTCACCAGCGTCTTTCTCGGTAAGTAATCCATCTGCACGTATTTTGTCACGTAGGAGTTGATAAGATGCCTCTAATAACTTTTTTATGCCGTTAGTGCCAAATATAGTGGCATCTTGTGGAAAGAGGTTACGATGATGATCTAAAAATTCATCCAAATAGACAAACATACACAATTCCAGATTCTTCTCATAAATAAAATCTGCAACAACTTCCTGCTGGCGTGCTTTGGTTAAACGTGTAGGCCTGGGCATGATATATTTGCGGCGATAAGACGTCCAGATGCTCATCCCGCTATATACTTATTTGTCAATTACTCCCTTATGGAGGCCTTTCAGGTCCAAGTTATCATATGGTGTTTGTTACATCTCTGTAGATCTCGACAATATCCATAGCGACTATGGGATGAGAATGTATATATGATACCAAGCATATAAGACAACCATTGTAACATTTTTTGTTCAACTATCCTACTAAACACCAACCTATTCTCCAAACAACAAAGTCTTCTTATTTTTCGCACACCACACTCTTGAATATGTCCATCTACTATTAACCTGTAACCCTCACTGCAAGATTCGCCAGAGTAGTTCTTGTATGTCATCATCTAAAGCACTTGTACTCTCAACTGTATCTTTGGGGCGAAATACAGGGGAGAGATTACATTTTAAAAAAACATGTGCTGTCTATTGCTATTTTATTCTGTGTTCTGTTGCCCACTATGAAGAGATATGTCAGTTATGGAAGTAAACACTCCGTTCCTTGGGCTTTGGATATTTTTTATATGCCTTTTTATATCCTCTGCACATGAAGGGGCCGCTATATAGATACAACTTGACATCTATATTAGATATTGTTGTGTATGGCCCTCAAACACAAACATTGAGAGAAATATTCCCGGGAAAAAACGTGGTATATCAAGTATCAAGAGATCACCATTCCGCCTAATATGCCAAAAAGGATTTGCAATAGATGTGACCAAAAGAAGCCTTCATATGATTTCTACGATGATTCCAGAAATACATGTAAGGAATGCAAGATAAAGTCTTCCAAGGAGAGCTATCAGGCAAAAAAGAATGGTGGAAAGCATGTGAAATCTGGGAGATGTAAGAAAGATGAGGATGTGCAACAATCCGATGATGATTTACAGTATGAGAATAAGAAGTTAAAGAAACGTGTCAGAAAATTGGAGAAAGGAATGGATAAGATGAACCAAATTATTTCCCAGCAGAAGAAGGAGATTTATATAATAAATGCCTTGATCAAAGGATTGCCAGTGGTCTCATGGTAAATCAAGAGGAAGAATTAGATACAGCCAATGTTGTTGAGCTATTGGAATAAACTTTTAAAATGTGCAATATATATACCTTCCATAAGTAGTATTATGGGAATTATTCCCAGGAAATTCATGTACTGTCAACCAAGCTGGTACCATTATCATCATGATGTATATGCATGAGATTCACCGGGGACACACGTATAAATGCTATATATGTTATATGAACGTAGGTGTTTTAAAATGGTGGGCATAGCTTAACAAAAGACGAGAAAAATGGTGTACTCCCTCGCCCAAAAAAAAGCGCACTCCCCCAATTCTATTCCTCGATTACCGATATGTAAAATATGTTTATGTTGATACTCTTTCCTTACGTTTTGCTCTTGTAATACTGCTAGATAACTATGTCCATTTGGATTCTTTTGCTTTTGTATATGTATTCTTTATAGATATATCTGTTGTCTTTTTAAAAACTCCTTCCATAATCGTCTGTACAAATTCTTGCAACTTCCATTGGTATTCCATAACATATTTAACTATTTCGACCCAAGACATTTCCCATTTCGATGTACAGATTGGCTTGAATATCCTCGATGAACGTTTCCCCCAACTTGACCTATTATGTATCTCTTATTTTAAAATCTGTTCTTGATATACTATATAATTCCAATGGTTGGGGGGTGTACTCCCTCGCCCAAAAAAAAGCGATCTCCCCCAATTCTATTCCTCGATTACCGATATGTAAAATATGTTTATGTTGATACTCTTTCCTTACGTTTTGCTCTTGTAATACTGCTAGATAACTATGTCCATTTGGATTCTTTTGCTTTTGTATATGTATTCTTTATAGATATATCTGTTGTCTTTTTAAAAACTCCTTCCATAATCGTCTGTACAAATTCTTGCAACTTCCATTGGTATTCCATAACATATTTAACTATTTCGACCCAAGACATTTCCCTATATTTCCCATGACTAGATCAAAAAAAAAGGTACATTTCTCTTTTCAACTCATTCTAACACCTCCATGGCGGCATTGGTTGCATTCAACGCATACCTCCTCAACCTTGTCGCTCGCGACCTTATCCAATACGACGACGACTATGCCGACGACGAAGACGACGACGATGACCCAGCTGAACAGCCCATCCCACGTACCATCTTCCTCCCGGGTATCTTGTTTGATATTCGCATTTTATCAGCCAAAAAATGTGTTGAGCAGTTTCGTTTCCGACCACGCCACATACTCCAGCTCTGCGACCTACTTCTACTTCCTGGAGTTGTCAAGACCGGGAAACGAGACTCAGCCACCAATGTAGAGGCGTTATGCCTGACGCTTTTCCGGATGTCGAGCCCGTGCAGCCTTAACCGTATGCAAATGATTTTCCATCGCGATCCATCGGCCATCTCTAGGATCATTCGAACAACGGTCTGTTTTTTGTCTCAGCGCTGGGCCGATACTCTACATTGGGATGTTAACCGCCTTAGTAATGCTAAGCTGGATGAGTACTGCACGGCCGTAGGCGCGAATGCCGCCCACCGTTCTGTGTTCGGCTTTATAGACGGGACGGTTCGAAAAATCTGCCGACCATCCATTGGCCAAAGATCCATGTACAATGGCCACAAATGTTTCCATGCCTTGAAATACCAAGCCGTCGTAGCTCCAGATGGTATCATCATTCATATAAGCAACTCAGCACGAGGAAACCTCCATGACCTGACCATCTTTGATCGATCACAATTACCAGCCATTCTTCGAGAGCATGCCTGGTCTCAAGACGGAAGGCGACGTCTTGCTATTTACGGAGACCCTGCTTACAGGCTTGGTGCTCACGTCCTTCGGCCATATCACGCTCATATCTTGATGCCGCCTTGGCAAAGGACATTCAACACGAACATGGCCAAGCAACGCATTGTGGTGGAATGGGCGCTGGGCAAGGTCGTACGCTATTTTGCAGCTATGGATTTCTCGCCAAATCAACGAGTTCTTTCCACCCCTCTTTCTCATCATTTTAAGATAGCCGTTCTTTTTACTAATCTTCACACATGCTACTATGGTTCTCAAACAGGAAGACGTTTCCGAATCGATAGCCCATCCCCAGCAGAGTATTTGTTTTAATATTCAATAGATATTTATTTAAATTAAAGCCGGGCCGGTCCTTTGAGTAGAAATAACGGTTATAACTTGGGAGGCCATCCATGTTCGGCTCCACCAACCATAGACTACAGTATAAAAATATCTGTCAACACCTATTAAAACAGTGTGTTCCTTGAGAGTACAACAAATCTCATCAGCTTTTTCCTTCCACCAGTCTCCATTTTCTACATTCACCACCACTACTTTGTAACATCATCTACTTTAGCTGAGAAAGCCTTGGACATGATCATCTCATATTGGATCCTGGATATTACAGATAGTAATTTCCTTTCCAATATGAGATGATCATGTCCAAGGCTTTCTCAGCTAAAGTAGATGATGTTACAAAGTAGTGGTGGTGAATGTAGAAAATGGAGACTGGTGGAAGGAAAAAGCTGATGAGATTTGTTGTACTCTCAAGGAACACACTGTTTTAATAGGTGTTGACAGATATTTTTATACTGTAGTCTATGGTTGGTGGAGCCGAACATGGATGGCCTCCTTGGGCGAGAAGTTGGTTGGTTGACGATTGCTGCTTAAGAACCTCCATGAACTCCTTGTGTCGACGTTCTTCAACCTCATCCTGTCGTTTAGCTCTCTCCGCTTCCCGAAGCTCTGAAAGGCGCACCTTCTCCCGCTCCCATTCCAGCTGCCTCTGCTCCTTCTCGCGTTCTCGATCAACAACACGAGCCTCCTTCTCACGATCTAACGCCTCCTGTCTCAAGATATCATCTTTTCGGTGCTCCATTTGTTCCCTCTGCAAACCCAACTGTTGCGCCAATAACTCGGTCTGCCCTTTCACATGCTCCAATGATTCCTGCTGCTGCTTCTCAAGGCTTTGAAGAGTGAAGCGTTTCTTGCCGTACTTAGTGGTTGTCGATGATGTCGCAGCACTAGACTCCGAGTCTGAACCGCCGCCATAACGTGTTCTGACAGAGAGGGACTCTGCGGAGTCAAGGAGAAGTTGGCCTAGACGTCTGTCCTCTGTCTGAACCTCAAGCTGACGGTGCTTCTCCTGTCTGGCGTCTGCCACTGCCTCTGCCCCAGCTGTCTTGAGAGCGTTGAGCTCCTTCATCAAACGGCGTCGTTCTGTCTCTTGAGGGGCAATACCGGTAGCCGCAAGCATGGTTGCCTCATAAGCTTTCTGCTCGTTGAACAGACGCTCCCAAGCAAGCTTGCAAGACCGAGGCTTGACATTGGTGTAAAATGGCGTTGTAGGGCGCTCGGTGCGGTCAGTTTCGTGAAGATAGTCGACAAGTTTGTTCCAGGCATCCGTGCCGCTTCCATGCGGGGCCACAAACGGTCGATGCAGAGCCAAGCCCCGGAGAAGAATGAGCTCTTGGATAGATTCCTTGCGAAAGTCGAAGCGAGAAACAGGGATCGGGTTGATTCTGGCGCCGGCAATGCGCCTAACAGCTGGCTCGTCGATGACTGGTGCATTAGCTAGAGCGGTAGGCGGTGCATCAGCTGGAGTATTGTCAAGAAGTGGAAGAGGTGCGGTAGGATGTGGTGGGGCTGTGGGGATGGCAGACTGGGAAGACATTTTTTTTTTGATGAATGTTTAAAAAAATAACGAAGAAAACAAGAAAAACAACCACTATGAACATTTGAAGCCATCTTCACAGCTTGTGAACGAACCAGTGAAAATTTCACAGTGATGTTCACAGTGGCTTAGAAAAACCTACGTATTTGGAATTTCACTGCCACACACTGTGAAAATTTCAGAGTGCTCAATTTCTCTATTATACATATCGGTAATCGAGGAATAGAATTGGGGGAGATCGCTTTTTTTTGGGCGAGGGAGTACACCCCCCAACCATTGGAATTATATAGTATATCAAGAACAGATTTTAAAATAAGAGATACATAATAGGTCAAGTTGGGGGAAACGTTCATCGAGGATATTCAAGCCAATCTGTACATCGAAATGGGAAATGTCTTGGGTCGAAATAGTTAAATATGTTATGGAATACCAATGGAAGTTGCAAGAATTTGTACAGACGATTATGGAAGGAGTTTTTAAAAAGACAACAGATATATCTATAAAGAATACATATACAAAAGCAAAAGAATCCAAATGGACATAGTTATCTAGCAGTATTACAAGAGCAAAACGTAAGGAAAGAGTATCAACATAAACATATTTTACATATCGGTAATCGAGGAATAGAATTGGGGGAGATCGCATTTTTTTGGGCGAGGGAGTACACCCCCCAACCATTGGAATTATATAGTATATCAAGAACAGATTTTAAAATAAGAGATACATAATAGGTCAAGTTGGGGGAAACGTTCATCGAGGATATTCAAGCCAATCTGTACATCGAAATGGGAAATGTCTTGGGTCGAAATAGTTAAATATGTTATGGAATACCAATGGAAGTTGCAAGAATTTGTACAGACGATTATGGAAGGAGTTTTTAAAAAGACAACAGATATATCTATAAAGAATACATATACAAAAGCAAAAGAATCCAAATGGACATAGTTATCTAGCAGTATTACAAGAGCAAAACGTAAGGAAAGAGTATCAATATAAACATATTTTACATATCGGTAATCGAGGAATAGAATTGGGGGAGATCGCTTTTTTTTGGGCGAGGGAGTACACCATTTTTCTCGTCTTTTGTTAAGCTATGCCCACCATTTCTTAATATGACATATCTGGGGAATTCTAGGGAATAATTGACATAATTACGTGTGTATAATCCCTATTTTTGCAGAAAACGACATTATGGAGACTGATACCATCGTAAACCCTACGCCAAAGAAACTTGCACGGCTGCTTGATAATCTGTTGGAGAACGAATGGGGATTTCTTGATGAACCGTGGCCAATGTGCCCAAAGGTCAAGACATTTCATCGTTCAGAGTTGAAACCAATTGCAAGAATACAGGATATGAAAAAGGTGTTGATGAAGAGACTTGGAGCCATACCAGTGTTTTTCTTTCTATCTACCATCTGGAGTAAACACTATTTCCCTGGTCCATATAACGCACTTGAGAAAGGAATTGCGTTCTTGTACTTTTTCGTCGCTGGAGAGACTATGGATTCCATGGCACAGTATATGCCAAAGTCCACATTCCATTTGATATACAGTACATTCGTCAAGGTGGAACGTGCATTGTTTGAGAAGGAGAGTACACGCTGTTTTGCATCCATGTTTTCTTCGCTGGAAATTCGTATTCGAACAGCCAATTGGAAAAATCCCCCAATGTTCAAGCATGTAACTCTCTACTTGGATGGTCATGACTCTCGAGCAACATATGGGGAAGATAAAGCAGCAATGTATTCTTATAAGTTAAAGAAATCGGGTTTGAGAACGCAAGTGGCCATCGATGCCAATGGAATGGTTCTCTTTGTATCCAAATCAGCGTCATGTCGTGATAACAACGATGGGAAAATGTTACAAGAGATGGGCATTGGTAAGAAGATCAACAACATGGACTGTATTGCTCTCGATGGAGGATATACACAATACATTGGCGATATTGTGGAAAAAGAAAAGTTGGACGAGCGTAACTTCTGTTTTCCCATTCGTAAGAAACGACTACAGCAACTCCACGAAGAGGAATCCAACTTTAATGCTATGTTTGGTGGATTTCGATCTACGTCAGAGGCTGTCTTTGGTGATCTCATGAAAACATTCGCCAAGTTTAATAACAAGGAGATTGTTCGAGTTGGATCTAAAAAGGAGTTTAATCTTACACTCCGCCTTTGTCTTCTCTTGCTAAATGTTCGCAACTTTGTCAAAGCAGTCGACATCGAAGAGCTGCCACATCATCGTGGATGGATGGAAGAAGGAGTAGATTATCCACGAGAAAGGCAACTTGTTCCAGAGTTAACACAAACCGTTACAGTACAAAACAAACTGGAAAATGGTCTTGAGTTACAAAGAATGCAAGAGAAATTTGTAGGAATAGATGTTGCTTCAGATGATGATGATGAACAAACGTCAAATAAGGATGATGACGAGGAAATGTCAAACCACGAAGATGATAATACTAGTCTATAATTAACAAAAGTCTTTCCAAAGTTTTTAAAAACCTCTCAAACGCGCTCGCACTTCATATCGTCCTCGCCATGAATACGAACCTTTTTTACTGCACGAAATGTCATCAACGGTACACCTTGCACACTACCAATTCTCTGTAGACCTTGAAGATGCTCCACACGCCATGGTCTCCAAATCTTTGCCAACGATTTTCCTGCGCGCACCTTTATGCCACATGCTGTAATAAAATGCCAACGATGTTCAGAACGAAATTCTTTGAGACCGGCTGTCAAGAAAGCAGACCAAGCAATAGAATGAAGTAGATAAAGAGAACCTTGATCAAGGACTAAGAAATGAGTATAAGGAATAGGTTAAAGAGTATGTTGTATTGGCGATACCAAGTAAAGAGCTATAGATTTGCTATCTAAGGCCCTTTTATACTCGTTAGGGCGAAGTCACAAGAGCAAGCTCTTGTCTCGTGACAACCTCCCCCTCTAGGGCCGAGTTCCAAGAGGCCTTTGGCTGGGTTTGTGAGGGTGTTGCAGATGGAACTCGCGAACAAGGTCCGGGGAATTCTTGACACAGGCGGCCGGTTCCCAGGTTCGTTCGGATACGGGGTAGCCTCTCCAATGTATATAGTATTCAAGGTGGTTGCGCCTGATCCGTGAATCCAAAATGGCCTCAACCTCGTACTCCTCATCGCCGGAGACGACAAGCGGAGGAGGTCGTTTTGAGGCTCGACCGGGGATCGTATCTGGATGCGCACGCTCAAGTAAGTTTACATGAAAGACAGGATGTAGCTTGGTCGTTGGTGGTAAATCGAGACGGAAGGATCGAGTGCCGATTTTTTCGAGAATACGGTAAGGGCCTATGCGCTTATGGTCGAGCTTCTTGCATGGTCTGTTCGTTTGGAGGTTCCGGGCGTCTAGCCATACAAGATCTCCTACTTGCAGATTGGGTTGTGGTTGGGCCTTGGTGTCGAAGTTCCTGGCATGCTGTTCAATGGCGGTGTGGATATTGAGTTGCATCTCCGCATAGAGGTTCTTTAGGGCCTGGACGCGTTCCTGGGCTGGGACATTGTCCTTCGAGACTCTTGGGATGGTGATGGTGAATTTCGGATGGTAGCCGAGGTTGGCAAAGAATGGTGTTGTTTTTGTTGTTGAGTGTGTTGCGTTGTTGTATGCAAATTCTGCTATCGGTAGAAGGGTGCTCCAGTCCGTTTGCTGATAGTCGATATACCCTCGTAGGTACTGTTCCAGTATTGAATTTACTCTCTCGGTCTGTCCATCGGTGCGTTGGTGGTAGGCGGTAGAAAGCTTCTGATTGATCCCCAGAGACTTGAACATGGTGGAAACGAAGGCTGAAGTGAAGGTGGCGCCTCTGTCAGAAACAATGTCATCCGGGAGACCGTGGGCTGAAAATACGCGTTCTAGGAACAAACAGACCGTATCCTGTGCATTGATGTTGTCGTAGGTGGGGACAAAGTGTGCCATCTTGGTGAATCGGTCCACAAAAACACAGATTGCCGTATAGCCGTTTGAGGGGGGGAGTTGGGTGATGAAATCCATCGATACTGAGGTCCAGGGGCGATCGGGTACAGGCAGGGGTTGTAAAAGTCCATAAGGCTTGTGAGTGGATGACTTTGTCCGTTGGCAGGTGTCACAACCGTTGATGTAATCCTTGATGTAACGCCACATGGAAGGCCAGTAAAAGGTTCGACTGACAAGGTCTGAGGTCTTGGTAATTCCAAAATGACCGGCGGTTGGGGCGTCGTGACATTCTTGAAGGATTTGTTTCTTGAGTTCGGGATCGTCGGGGACGCAGACAAGGCCATCCCGCAGGAGTAGCCCATCTTGAATTGAGTACTGGGCATTGTCCGAGTTCGACTTTGCGGTCTTGGCGAGTATTGGACCAAAGTATAGATCATCGGGGATTAGTGTCTTGATTTTTTCCTGGATCGCTGGCGTCTCTGGTTGCAGTGACCGGGCCTGGATGGTGTTCAGAATCTGGATCGGCGGTAGGAGGGTCATCTCGGTCTTGCCGTGCTGGGCCGCACCTCCCTCTCCAGGGTTGTCCCGCCGGGACAAAGCATCGGCAGCGGCATTCTGGGAGCCAGGGCGGTAATGGATGGTAAAGTTGTAGTCAGACAAGATTTCAGACCAGCGGACTTGACGGCGGCTCAATTGGCGCGTGGTGGTAAAGTACTCAAGATTTCTGTGGTCGGTGATGACTTCCGTGGTAGCGGGCGAGAATTCCAGGTAGTGTCGCCAATGTTTAAAGGCAGACACAATGGCAAGGAGTTCTTTGTCGTAGATCTGATAGTTGAGTTCAGCAGGCAATAGTTTTCGGGAGTAGTAAGCGATAGGATGTAGGCGTCCATCTTGGTCACGCTGACTGCAGACAGCGCCGAGGGCCTTGTCAGAAGCGTCAGTTTCAATGATGCAGGGGCGATCTGGTTGGAAATGCCGAAGGACGGGGCCAGACATGAAGCGTGACTTGAGCTCCGTGAAAGCGGCTTGTGCGATAGCGGTCCAGACAAAGTTAGTATTTTTCTTGAGTAACGCGGTGAGAGGCGCGGCGATATGGGAGTATTTCCGTACAAAACGACGGTAGAAGTTGGAGAAACCCAGAAAGCACTGGACATCCGAAACGGAAGAGGGAGTGGGCCAATCGCGAATGGCGGCAACCTTGGCGGGGTCCATAGAAATACCGTCAGTTCCGATCACAAAGCCGAGGAATTCGACTTTGTCCTTGTCGAACGAGCATTTCTCGAGTTTTAAGCATAGACCAGCGTCTTGGGAGGCCATCCATGTTCGGCTCCACCAACCATAGACTACAGTATAAAAATATCTGTCAACACCTATTAAAACAGTGTGTTCCTTGAGAGTACAACAAATCTCATCAGCTTTTTCCTTCCACCAGTCTCCATTTTCTACATTCACCACCACTACTTTGTAACATCATCTACTTTAGCTGAGAAAGCCTTGGACATGATGTTACAAAGTAGTGGTGGTGAATGTAGAAAATGGAGACTGGTGGAAGGAAAAAGCTGATGAGATTTGTTGTACTCTCAAGGAACACACTGTTTTAATAGGTGTTGACAGATATTTTTATACTGTAGTCTATGGTTGGTGGAGCCGAACATGGATGGCCTCCTAGTAGAGCATTTGTTTTCGTGTTTATATAATTAGCGATGGTTACTAATATCTCCTTTTCATGATATATCCTATGTGTATATCCAATATAGCATTCGTGATACTGGTGATGATGTAGTGGTAGTTTTAAAAAAAAAGTTGGATCCCGATTTTTTTAAAAAGTAGCATAGTGGCTTTAACAAACATTGGTTGTTGGAAAGAAAGGGTAGCTGATACGTTTTTAATGGCGTTATTGCTACACTTTCTCAACAATATTCGACATTCGACATTTGACATTCGGCATTCGATTCGACAGCTGACAAACTGTAGTTATTACCATAGTTATGATATTTGATATGAACGCATTTTGGATGACCTCGTGATTATCGTGATGTTTAATTTTAATACATTCTTGATAAACTCGTAAGTATTACAATGTTTAATGTTGACATACTTTAGGTAAGCCCACGATTTGCACGACGTTTAATATTATTACACTTTGGTTAACTTACAATTGTTATAGCATTTATTGTTATACAGATTGTAGGTAATTACGACAATGGTAAAAACAGAGATATCACAATTAGACCATGCATTGTGGGTAGTTGTAGATATAACAATTATATCGTTTAAAATAGACGTTTCTTAAAACACATCACATATTTTATAATGCAAATGGCTATTATATTACAACGTTTCTATTGCATTTTGTGTGATAACAAGATAGAAAAAATGTATTGTTAATAGAGTAATTATGTCGTTAAAAACAGACGTTTCTTAAAACACATCACATATTTCGTGATGCAAATGGATATAAACATCGTGGCGTTTCTATCGCATTTTGTGTGATAATAAGGTAGAGAAAATGTGTTGTTAACAGAGTAATTATGTCGTTTAAAATGGACGTTTCTTAAAACGTATCACATATTTCGTGATGCCAATGGGTATAAACATTGTGACATTTCTATCGCATTTTGTGTGATAATAAGATAGAAAAAATGTGTTGTTAACAGAGTAATTATGTCGTTTAAAATAGACGTTTCTTAAAACTTATCACATATTTCGTGATGCAAATGGGTATGAACATTGTGACATTTCTATCGCATTTTGTGTGATAATAAGGTAGAGAAAATGTGTTGTTAACAGAGTAATTATGTCGTTTAAAATGGACGTTTCTTAAAACGTATCACATATTTCGTGATGCAAATGGGTATGAACATTGTGACATTTCTATCGCATTTTGTGTGATAACAAGACAGAAAAAAGAAGTTGTTAACAGAATAGTTATGTCGTTTAAAATAGACGTTTCTTAAAACACATTACATATTTCGTGATGCAAATGGGTATGAACATTGTGACATTTCTATTGCATTTTGTGTAATAATAAGGTAGAGAAAATGTGTTGTTTAAAGAGCAACTATGTCTTTAAAAATAGACGTTTCTTAAAACGTACCCCATATTTCGTGATGCAAATGGGTATGAACATTGTGACATTTCTATCGCATTTTGTATGATAACAAGACAGAAAAAAGAAGTTGTATAAATAAAAGTTATGTAGACTTAGGAAATGTCTATAAAATATCGTTTGTATACTTTGGTGGTTGGGAGAAAATTGGTGGTTACAAAAAAGTTGTCGCAAAACCGCCATGATGAAATACTTTGACATCTGGTTGAGGGGCTTGCTCCCCTATCGTGTTTATCGTTAATAGTTTTAAAAAATCCAAAAGTGTGTTATATAAAGGAATTTTTGCTAATAGTTTACGTTTAAATTCTCTTGAAATAGATGATATATGCATTATATTTCTATCCAATCTATCTCGGAATATGAGATAACTTCTTTTATAGTGCAACAAATCTAAAAGTGTATTGTAGTATAGGCATTCTTCCTAATGGCTTACTAGTTATGCAATGCCAACACTTAAAGAAATTAAGCAAATAATAGCCATTTATATACATGAGCATCATATGCATCCTACAATGGCAATGTACTTGAGAGCTGTTTTGTTACGTGGTAAGTCTCAGCAAGAACTTAATGGTATGTCAAAGGAAGAACTGTGGGGATTAGTAGACTTTTTTGCACCAGATTTACAAAAACATATGCATACAATTGGTGCATTATCATGGTCAGCACACCGAAAATTTGCTTCAGAGTAAAGTGGTTTTTAAAAAGTTTGTAGTACATATCTCTGCAAACAGTAAGCTTTTCAACATGTCCGCTATACCTAAATCCATTAACAAGGCGCTGAACTCATATGCCCATCTTATCTCTGATGTGGGCAAAGAGATTGCATTGCCTGGCAAACCGAAGACTGGCTGGAAAAAGTACTCAGAGATATTCTGCGATAGTTTAATACTCTGGGGATTGCACAACCGGGCTGCACTTGTTGACGAGCAGCGCAAAAACACCACTTCCAATATTCGCGAAGCTTTTAAAGACCTCGATGTTAGCCACTCCATGGTTAAAGTTGTTAACGAGGGTTATATCAAAGACAATAGTTTTTTTAGCTCTAAACTACTAGAAAAACATAGAAAAAAGTTTAGAAGTACGGCCTTATACCATGCAGGATATTTCAGCATTAAGGTAACGCTCAATGAACTGGAGGCCATCTCTTTAATTTCCGAGTTACCACCAATATTTCATGAGCTTGAGGTTGACTATGTTATTCTCCATGATATAGACATTGCTACGGATTGTAGATATGTTACAAGCCGTCCAATTCTTCAGCAATACCTTCAAGAGAGATTTGGAGAAGATTTGGATATTGCCGACGATCTCCATAAGGTTGGTAACCACTGTCTCTCTTGGTTTGGAGTTACCGAAAAAGACCAAAAGGTCCGTTGTAAGGTTTATAACAAACTTGTACAGATGTTGGAGAGTGCTGAAGTAAAAATGTCGTTGGGTTCAAGAATGGAAAATTTTGTTATGGATGTGGATAAGGACCTACATAAGAGACTTCGAAAGGCGAAGAAAACAGGTCTAACAAGACTTGAACTTACCTTTTATGGACAGGAGATATATACATTCTCCTATTATAAAGGAGTCTTGGATGCCATAAAGGAAGAGATCCAAGAATGTCCCACCTTCTGCGTAAAACACAAGGCATATTGGAAGTATATAGTTGGCAATATATCATCCATGGTAGGTATTCATGTAACAATGGGTGAAAAATCGGCATTCGCATATTGCCATTGGTGGAACTCTGTTACAGGTAAGAAGTATGGTTCATATCGTAACAATGTCGAGAAAGAGGAAGCAATGACGTTGTTAGCCAACTATAGCTTCAACGATAGACCAATATACTTTTTGGAGGTTGAGATGGATGAGAATAGCATCAAGGATATTACAGTTACCAAGTACAAACGGCCTGACGAATGTACAGCAATAACACTTGTTGCAGGAGCACATAAAGGCATGTACCCATACATTTACGATGATGACGTTTTACAATTCGAGGATATGGGTATAGTGGAGGTGGATAATGTAAAGATCCAATGGCCTGAGAGAAGAATCCGCAAAGGTGCATCACCAATTGTTGATATTCATCTAGAAAACATGAATGGTGAGAATTTTATACAAGTCCATGATAGAGCTATCCACAAAGCAACATACAAAGCTGGATATAATGTACTTGAAATAAATACCAGCTATACAGTCATAGCAATTGCAATGGATATGTATCACAACAAAGAATATATTTTTGCAACATTGTCCAATGGTATTAAAGTACGATGTGGACTTAGTTTAGAAACAAAGATCGTTGCATGGCTGGAAGAATATCCCGATGGCCAAGTTCCGTATATGAATTTCACCACATTGCAATGCAGAACTGTTCGCGGGTTCAAGGATATTTATATACGTTAAGAATGCTAATAGATAGTTTTTAAAAATTACAATGGGCTTACTTTGTACGCTTATATGATGGAATCTCCACTCCTGCAAAAATTTCACGTCGCTTATTAGTCGGCTCTTCCCGTTGTTTATCCTCGACATCCATAGTAGTCATCTCCAAGAACTGCTCTTGTAACTTTGTTATATCTCGTGCATCATGCAACATCTCATCCACTGGAATATAATCCAAGATTTGTTCCATTGCACCATTGGCATATGGAAAGTCGAAGCCATCTCTAATCCAGGCACTATGAATGGGTTCCAGATTTAACTGCAGTAGTGCCACCATCTTCTTGATGTTCATAAGTAAGAGACACAATCGCAATTGCAAATTATATGTTTCTATCTTGGTTACCAACACTGGTTTCCTATTGTTGTGCTTCTCAAAGGTTGCTCCAAGATCTCCAAATTCGGCTTCTATCTGAGAGCGGAAACTGCCGAAAATCTTATTGTAGTTAGTTTCATCTTGTGCAAGATCTTTCCCACGGCTTTTGCGAATTGGATAACAAAAGTTTTTCTTGCTCATGCTTGTTTCTTCTACTATTTTCTTAATGTATTGTGTGTACCCTCCATCCAATGCAATACAATCTAGCTCGTGGATGTGCTTATGTATCTTCATACCAACCAACATAGCGGCCCCTTCATGTGCAGAGGATATAAAAAGGCATATAAAAAATATCCAAAGTCCAAGGAACGGAGTGTTGACTTCCATAACTGGCATATCTCTTCATAGTGGGCAACAGAACACAGAATAAAATAGCAATAGACAGCACAAGAATTTTTAAAATGTAATCTCTCCCCTGTATTTCACGACAAAGATACAGTTGAGAATACAAGTGCTTTAGATGATCACATACAAGAACTACTCTGTCGAATCTTGCAGTGAGGGTTACAGTTTAATAGTAGATGAACACATTCAAGATATTGGTGAGCGAAAAATAAGAAGACTTTGTTGTTTGGAGAATGTAGTTGTGTTTAGTAGGATAATCGCGCAAGGAATGTTACAGTGGTTGTTTTAAATGGTTGATATCATACATACACTCTCCTCTAATGGACGCGGTGGATATCGTCAAGATCTGCAGAGATGTAACAAACACCATATGATAATTTGGACTTGAAAGGCCTCCTAGGTGGAAGTGTCGAAGACATGTTACATTTTTAAAAAGTTCATGCTATATATACAACCACAAATGCCAACTGTTGACAATTGGATAGTTTTTAAAATATCTACTCTTCATCTGTCTCAACAACTACCAAAACTTTACATCTGGAGAGTACAATTTAGGCAATTCCTCGATCGTGAACCCCATGGCAATTAACTTCTGCTTTTGTTTGTTGTTGGTAAATTTGTCTCGACTATAGTTACTGTCACCGTTTGCAGGTATCTTATACAGCAGTCCAACAATAATGTCCTCTTCGTACCTCTTGAGCAGATGACATCCGTCGAAAAGGTAGTTGGTTGCATATTCATGCTTCTTGTCAAACGAACATGTTGTCCATTTAATTTCGTCTTTATCTATGACGATTATACCCGAGGAGCTTTTATCTTTAGGGTACCTTTTCCACATAACATCCTCAGCATCTTTATCATCCTCAGCATCTTTATCATCTTCAGCATCGTTATCACCCTCAGCATCTTTGTCATCTTCAGCATCTTTATCACCCACCGCATCTTTGTCATCCTCAGCATCTTTATCGCCCTCAGCATCTTTATCATCCTCACATGTGCTCTCATCTTTCTGTGGCAAGCTTTGCTTATGCTCATGCGGTTTAAATCCCATAGCAAACAACTTCTCTTTTTCCTTCTGGCTAAGAGAATGACACTCTACATTCTCTGCAGCAATATGGTCATCAGTCATCAAGCCGATTACAGTGTCTTTTTTGCGCATCTTGAGAATGTGCATTCCATTTACAAGTACATTCTCGGAATATTCCAAGTACTTGTTAAGTTTTTTCCATATCACCTTGGATTTATCTGTTGGTCCTTCTACTGGTACTTCTTCTTCTACTTCGATCTCCTCGTTGAAAAGCGTCTTTCTCTCTTCATCAGACAATGGTTGAAGTTTCATCTTGCTAAGCATGGAGCGTTCCAAGATATCCAACTCTGGAACATCACCGACACCGCGCAGAGCATCAAGCGTAAACAGGCCAACGTATGTATTCTTTCCAGATAGCCTGACAATGTACTTGCCATTCATCGTAAACTTAGTTGCATACTCAAGCATGTCGTTATTAGGATGAATCATCCATCCTCTGTCCTTCGCACGTGCTATGTCTTTCTCTGATCTAATGTTATGCACCGTTGTGGCCAGTGCAAATGTATGTTCATCTTTTCCATCCTTAGAAACGTCTACATTAGAAGATGGCTCTGCATTTTTGGACATCTCTGAATGCCTTTTCTTTCGAGAAGTCTTCTTCTCATCATCCTTAGATGACTTTTTATGAGATAGTTTTTCATCAGGGTTATCCTTAGAGGTATCATCTCCAGATTCTACATCAGGTCTGTTATTGGACTTGCCATCATCAGAGTCTTTATCATCAGGGGAATCATCGTCAGAGCCAGCATCATCAGACGTATCACCATCATCTGTATCATCGTCAGAATTCTCATCAGCAGAAGACTCTTCTATTTTTTCTACATCAGCAGGAGTTGCCTCTTGGAGTCCCATCTTTTGTAATATACGTACCTCTTTGTCAGATAATTTCGGTACAGGAAGATTTTTCCCCATGAGCTCAGGTGGACACAATACAATGTAGAGGTCCTTTTCCTTCAGCTTAATAATGTACTTGCCATTTACAGTATAGTTTTTTGCATACAGGAAAGCTGGATTAGTTGCATAACGCATCCATATGCCTGTATTAGCGAGTGGTACATTTTTCTTGGACGTTATGTCAACTACCTTTGGACTCAACGGAAAGGAGACGGCAATTATATCTTCTTCATCATCATCGGACGGCTCCTCATCCGATGACTCCTGCTTGTTTCTCTTTCGCTTCTTTGGTTCTTCATCCTCGGAAGTCATATCATCATCTGAAGGGACAAACTCAGGAGTATGTGTCTTCTTGGTTATCTTGGAAGACTTGGTACGCTTGTTGGCAGGTGCCTTATTGTTACTGCTTTTCATATGACCTTTATGCTGCTCTCGATGACGTCCACAGTATGTTTCACCAAGTTTGGCTACACTACCACAATTAGCGCCCTTAATGGTTGTGCCTTGACACTTGCGCGCAGGATCGTGGACATAACAATGCATGCCTTCATCATCAACTTCCTTCATGCATTTGCGCTTGGACTTGGTGCACTTTGCACCACAAAAGTAGTATCTCTCTACTCCCTCATCCTCATCAAGCGCCTTAAAGATCTTATTTGCATCTTTCTTGGTAAACTCCACTCCCTTCTTAGAAGAAAATGTCTCGAAGGCCTTGGTGATGAGCTCGATTGTAAGCTGAACGTACTGCATGTTTTTGGATATGAACGATATAGATTGTACTTGTGGTATGGTGGGTGTGAATGACTTTTCAGTTTATGTGTGGTAGATTGCAGCTGCTTAGTACACTGATATAAAGAATTGCAATAAAAGATGGTTGTATAGGTATGGATGGTTGTATAGATATGGATAATGGTTGGTTGGTTACTAGATAAGATAAAGATTAAGCAAGAGGGAAGTGGAGTCCTTTATTTATACTAATTCATGGGACACTGCCACACTGGATATTAATAGCGCTTGCTTATTAACACTGCTTGGCGCTTAGTAACAAAAGAGTTTTAAAAAGGCATCTAAGTGGTTAATAACGTAGTGTTCCTCGTATGACGTAGATCTTGCTTATTAAGACTGCTTGGCGTTAAAGACGGGGTTTAAAAATGGTTAAGAATGTAGTATTCTTTTATGACGTAGGTTTGTACATGTGTTTATGTATTCTTTTATGACGTAGGTTTGTACATGTGTTTATCCTCTTTGTTAAATAAAAAGGAATGTTGTAGAATAGCATAGAATAGCATCCGATCTACTACAATAATACCATGACTTTTAATAATAGATACCGGTGCATATTAGCGTCTAGGCAGTTAATACCGTATCTCAACGCTGACTAAATAGGCTATGTATGTCTATTATTTTAAAAACCTGCAATAAGTCTACAAATTACCATTAACATCCATTTGTCGCTTCGTACCTCTAAGCTCAATGGAAAGACCGGGTTGCATTATTACTGCTTGATCCATTGGTGTGTCCTCATCAACATTAACATCAACATCACCATGAAGATTAATACCAAGAAATTTGTTCTGGAGTTGTGCCATTGTATTTCCATCCTCCACTAGCGCACCAACATCAACATATCCCATTGGTTGCTCAACGTCGTTCTCTGTTGTCGGATACTCGAATCCTTCGCGAAGCCAAGCTGTATGAATTGGTTCTGCAGAAATCTTCAACAAAGCAACCATCTTTTTCATGTTTAAGAGTAACAAAGATAACTTCAACTGCAAATTATATGTTTGTTTCTTATCCACCAACACAGGAGTACGGTTGTTGTGTTTCTCAAATGTGGAACCAAGGTCTGCAAACAGAGATTCCATCTGCGAGCGGAAACTACCAAAGGTGGTATTGTATAACGCTTCTTCCTGTGTAAGTTCCTTGTTCTTCTGTTTACGGTATGGATGAGCGAAATTTTGGATTCTAAGAGTGTCAGACTCATCTATAAGCCTCCTTAAGAACTGTGGATACCCTCCATCGAGAGCAATGCAATCCATCTCATGCACTCTCTTGTCCAACTTCATCGTTAGCAGCATTGTTCCATCAGCATTGTTCTTGCAAGATGCAGATTTGGAGACAAATAAAGCCATGCCATTACAATCCATTGCTACCTGTGTGCGTAATCCTGACTTTTTCAGCTTGTAAGAGTACATATCAGCACTACTCTCACCTTTGTATGTTGCTCTTGTATCATGACCATCAAGATGCAATGTAACATGCTTAAATAATGGAGGATTCTTTTCCTTTGCAGACAAAAGGCGTATTTTAATTGTGGAGAACATTGTTGCAATACAGTTGGTGATGTACTTGTTGTGCAAAGTATATTCTTTCTTATAAAACACAGAGTGCATTGCATGAAAACTACTTTTTGGCATGTGTGGTTCCATTGCTTCCATAGACAGTCCTTTGACAAGATGGTAGAGCATTAAAAGACCTTTCTCCACTTCTTTGTATGGACCAGGATACTTAACCTTTGGCCAGATGTCAACAAGAAAGAAGTACACTGGAATAGGACCAAGGCGTCGATTTAGGGTTTCTTTTATTTCTGGCATATACCCAATTTCCTTGCTTACAGTACGATGATTATTACGTGGTGTAATTGTTGGCCATCCAGCGTTGAGGAAAGTCCAATGGTCATCAAGCAGTTGTTTGAAGTGTTTTGTTAGATCCATAATAATATTTATGTATTGGATTGTCATGACGTTAACCAACAATAACAATTTTTTAAAAAGGCTTATACTTAACTGTATACACAACAGCATGTAGGATGGTATCTATCATACAGCAAGCACATAGTTGAGAATACAAATATATTTTTATATTTTATTCGGTAGCGGCCCCTTCATGTGCAGAGGATATAAAAAGGCATATAAAAAATATCCAAAGTCCAAGGAACGGAGTGTTGACTTCCATAACTGGCATATCTCTTCATAGTGGGCAACAGAACACAGAATAAAATAGCAATAGACAGCACAAGAATTTTTAAAATGTAATCTCTCCCCTGTATTTCACGACAAAGATACAGTTGAGAATACAAGTGCTTTAGATGATCACATACAAGAACTACTCTGTCGAATCTTGCAGTGAGGGTTACAGTTTAATAGTAGATGAACACATTCAAGATATTGGTGAGCGAAAAATAAGAAGACTTTGTTGTTTGGAGAATGTAGTTGTGTTTAGTAGGATAATCGCGCAAGGAATGTTACAGTGGTTGTTTTAAATGGTTGATATCATACATACACTCTCCTCTAATGGACGCGGTGGATATCGTCAAGATCTGCAGAGATGTAACAAACACCATATGATAATTTGGACTTGAAAGGCCTCCATAGTACCATCGTTGTTATCCTTGCAAGGTAGCGATTTAGAGACTAGTATTGCCATGCCATTGCAATCGACACACACTTGCGTTCTTACACCAGATTTCTTCAGCTTGTAAGAGTACATGTCTGAGCTAGACTTTTCTTCACATGAAAGACGTGTATCATGACCATCCAAATGCAATGTTACATGTGGGAATAGTGGTGGATTCCTGAGTTTAGCAGACATCAAGCGTATAGGAAATGTGGAGAACATATTCGCAAGTGCATGGTTAATATGCTTCGAATGCACATTATAGTTAGTCTTGTAGAACTCTGTATGAATGGAGTGGAAACTACTTTTTGGTATGTGGGTTGACATTCCATCCATTGCCAAGCCTGCAACTAAGTGGTACAATATCAACAATCCTTTGTCGACTTCTCTGTATGGACCTGGATACTGCTTGAGAGACCAAATAACTACAAGAAAGTAGAATACAGGAATTGCACCTAATCTTCTTATAAGTAAGTCTTTAACAGTTTTCATATGTGCTACTAGCTTCAACGCAGTCCTATGATTATTAGATGGTTCTTGCGTAGGCCATTCTACATCCAAAAAAGTCCATTCATCCTCTAACAACCGTTGAAATAGGCGCTTTAAGTTTGCCATGACTGTAATTACAACCTGGTAAACTATTAGCAAAAATTCCTTTATATAACACACTTTTGGATTTTTTAAAACTATTAACGATAAACACGATAGGGGAACAAGCCCCTCAACCAGATGTCAAAGTATTTCATCATGGCGGTTTTGCGACAACTTTTTTGTAACCACCAATTTTCTCCCAACCACCAAAGTATACAAACGATATTTTATAGACATTTCCTAAGTCTACATAACTTTTATTTATACAACTTCTTTTTTCTGTCTTGTTATCATACAAAATGCGATAGAAATGTCACAATGTTCATACCCATTTGCATCACGAAATATGGGGTACGTTTTAAGAAACGTCTATTTTTAAAGACATAGTTGCTCTTTAAACAACACATTTTCTCTACCTTATTATTACACAAAATGCAATAGAAATGTCACAATGTTCATACCCATTTGCATCACGAAATATGTAATGTGTTTTAAGAAACGTCTATTTTAAACGACATAACTATTCTGTTAACAACTTCTTTTTTCTGTCTTGTTATCACACAAAATGCGATAGAAATGTCACAATGTTCATACCCATTTGCATCACGAAATATGTGATACGTTTTAAGAAACGTCCATTTTAAACGACATAATTACTCTGTTAACAACACATTTTCTCTACCTTATTATCACACAAAATGCGATAGAAACGCCACGATGTTTATATCCATTTGCATCACGAAATATGTGATGTGTTTTAAGAAACGTCTATTTTTAACGACATAATTACTCTATTAACAATACATTTTTTCTATCTTGTTATCACACAAAATGCAATAGAAACGTTGTAATATAATAGCCATTTGCATTATAAAATATGTGATGTGTTTTAAGAAACGTCTATTTTAAACGATATAATTGTTATATCTACAACTACCCACAATGCATGGTCTAATTGCGATATCTCTGTTTTTACCATTGTCGTAATTACCTACAATCTGTATAACAATAAATGCTATAACAATTGTAAGTTAACCAAAGTGTAATAATATTAAACGTCGTGCAAATCGTGGGCTTACCTAAAGTATGTCAACATTAAACATTGTAATACTTACGAGTTTATCAAGAATGTATTAAAATTAAACATCACGATAATCACGAGGTCATCCAAAATGCGTTCATATCAAATATCATAACTATGGTAATAACTACAGTTTGTCAGCTGTCGAATCGAATGCCGAATGTCAAATGTCGAATGTCGAATATTGTTGAGAAAGTGTAGCAATAACGCCATTAAAAACGTATCAGCTACCCTTTCTTTCCAACAACCAATGTTTGTTAAAGCCACTATGCTACTTTTTAAAAAAATCGGGATCCAACTTTTTTTTTAAAACTACCACTACATCATCACCAGTATCACGAGTGCTATATTGGATATACACATAGGATATATCATGAAAAGGAGATATTAGTAACCATCGCTAATTATATAAACACGAAAACAAATGCTCTACTAGGAGGCCATCCATGTTCGGCTCCACCAACCATAGACTACAGTATAAAAATATCTGTCAACACCTATTAAAACAGTGTGTTCCTTGAGAGTACAACAAATCTCATCAGCTTTTTCCTTCCACCAGTCTCCATTTTCTACATTCACCACCACTACTTTGTAACATCATCTACTTTAGCTGAGAAAGCCTTGGACATGATCATCTCATATTGGATCCTTGATATTACAGATAGTAATTTCCTTTCCAATA